ATGATCGTCACTCACCTTCATCAACAACAAACTGACAGTGTTTGTCATTGTAGAAAAGAACCTTCTTCTTATCTGGCCGGGTCACAAATATAATCTGATCCCCAAGTGCCTGAACAAAATAAAACACAATTAAGTGTTTCAAACCTGAAAAAAAGCTAATTTGCTTCTTTGAAAGAATGTTGTTTGGCAGATGAATTATGTCTAAATAAAAAAATATATATATGCAAATTAGGTGCTAAAAGGAGTATTTGAAAATCTTTTAGAAAATAAAATCACAGTGCATCTGTTTACTGGTGCCTCAATACGTCTTTAAGTTTCTGTGTTGTTGATGCTTTAAATGTACTGTCTAGAAGATGTTCCACCTGTTTTTTTAAACGAACATTTTGGAGAAAAAAAACAAAAAATACAGTATGACAGTATATTACTTTAATAGCCTTGGCTGCGATGGGCAGACCCTCTTCAACGTCGTCAAGTAACACACCTCCTAGTCCCAGCTGATCGTGTTTGTCCAGTAGTCTTAGCAGAGCTTTCTTTTCCTTTCAGATGATACTTGGGTTTAAAGGCATATTTCCCTTCCCGCACATCAATCTTTGGATTACTTGCTAATGCCTGGAGGGAAGGAGGGAGGGAGGGAGGGAGGGAGAAAGAGGTTAGATTTCCTTTTTTGTATGTGTGTGAATGTGCTCTTGCCCTTGAGAAGGAATATTGTGTGTTATTACATTGCTTTGATTGGTCAATTATGGCATTCTGTGGTCAAAACAAATTGTAATATGTGAAGAATAATAATACATGGCACCATATCAAAGTCCCTTTCATGGAAAGTTTGTTCACTAGGCGGCCATATTTGCAACGCCTATTTCAGGCATCCAAGACCAAGTCCCATCTAAATGAATGGGGGAATCTTGAAATCTCAAAAACTGTTTGCTGAACTCGCAATTAAATTACATATTTCAAATCAGTAACAAAATCTGAAATGAACTGCTCCACGAATGCCGCTCCTTATGCTCAAACAGCATTAAAAAAAGGTTATTTTTCAGTCTAGACCAGCCAATGCTCATGTGCAGTCATAAGTGAGAGCAGTGATGCAATGACTTTACCAATCAGCGATTGGCTCTTTCATTTAGAAGGTGGGACATATTCTGCCGCATTGCAGTTTTTAAGTAACAGGAGTGAAATGTCTTTGTATATCTATAGTCTTTGACCATACGTAAATCAAATAAGAAATGTTCCTACCACCCAAGAAATTCAAGTACCTCTTACATGCAAAGCATATTTTTACAAATTCCGCAATCAGTGCAGGTCCAGCTGCTACGACAGGCAACATGCCTTGCAATATAAATACAAATAATCCATGCAATCATTAGTGAACCAATGTCTTTCTCTCATGCCCACACACACACACCTCACTCATGAGCCACTGCTTCTGCTTCATGCCAATATCCAGCAGCTTGGTCTCATCCAGAATTTCCTCCAGAGTCAAATGATGAGTATCACCTCTCTGGTGCCTCGTCTGGGAAAGAAAGACAAAGAGATGTAAAAAGAGAGTTTAAATGTGTCACATCTGTGGATTAAGAGCCTGACACCCTTTAATTACTGTCATGTTAGAGAGAGGACATCATTTCACTGTGGGGAACTGCCAAGGCTGACACGCACACACACACACACACACACACACACACACACACAAAGACTGACACACTGCTTACGACAAAATGAAACAACTGTAAAATGACTCTGACAATGCATATTAGTGCGAAATTTCACACAGTGTTTATTCAGGTCAGATGGAGAAACTGTTGTTAGGAGAGTTAGGGAAAACTATGTTTTAGTCCTCTTTGTCTGTTTTTCAAGCACACGACATGAAAACCTTCACAAGCGATCAGAAGAAATCCTCATTTTAGATCACAAAACTGGTACGAATATAAGACTGGCAATAGATGCGCTGATTGGAGGACATCTTCCATGGCATTCGATGGAGGCAACATGTGTTTAATGACGGGGAGGATTGCTCAGCTCATGATAATTTCATTCCCATGGGTCATCCTCTGGAGACTGTACTTTGAATTGCATTCTGAATAGCAGAAATCTCCTTCGGAGTTAAAAGAAAGCTTTTCACTCAAAGATCAGGCTGTGGTGTGTACTAAAGTGAGATGGGAAATGATCATAAAGAAGCAAGAAAAATGACACTGCGGCAAATGTTTGTTTGTTGAATGGATTTTTTGTCGAGTGTATTTTTGGATTACCTTCATGTAGTTGACAATCCGGGCCAAAACTCCAAATTTGTATCCTGAACTCCCACAAAGTGCTTTGAGATTGAAGGAGCCATTGCTGGGATCTGAACGATGAAAAGAGAACAAAGACGATAAGAAACTATAATAAGTGCGTGCTGCAACTAATAGGCTGTTAATGCAGAACTACTGTAACCAGTCCTTTCAAACGACAATAAAAGTAATGACACACGTTGTTTTCAAACCCTAAGTACGTTTTTGGCAGTTATATTCCATTCCATTTACACTTCTTTCAGCTGTCAACAGATACTTTCTAACTAAGGAGACACACCAACAACCAAGAGTGAAATGAAAAAGCAAAACAAAACGGCAACAAAAAGGTCTATTATTCTGACAAAGTGAAAAGCACTCTGGCCATTCGGATGCCTTCATTCATTCCTTTGATGTAATCCATTTCACAACACTTTCTCTAATGCAAAGTAAAACCTCGGACAAAAACACATGCCATCTGCATGACAGCCTTCTATTCTATTCTGAATGATAAAAATGTATATAGTAATAGTGTGATACAGGAATATACAGCAGTTTAATGACAATAACTGTGAGATGCACTGTTACTAATATAATAGTGAAGCTGTTGAAATAAAATTTCAGGTAAGCAAAGTATTATAATAAAATAAAAATTTAAATGCCACACACACATTTAGTACTACCTGCACCGCTTTTTATTGTTGCTAAATCTTCCGAGTTTCAAAATAATGGCAAGATAACACCTTTTTCTACTGAGACGTCCCTGTGGGCTGCATACAAAAACAAACACACAGCACAACCAGTGCAGTCTGGCTCACAAAATAATGAGCTGGTTCTTTTAATGAATTGTTCAGAATTCATTAAAAGAATTCATTTAATTGTTGTTATTTTGAATCAGTCTGACAAATACTTCACTGTACAACCATGCAAGTTCTCATTACTTTCAGTGAGGTCTCAAAACGAAGCAACTTTTGAACTAAAGCTTAGTCAAACATAAATCACAGACTGACCGGCTGCTTATATGAAAAAATGCATTATCTAAAGATGCTATTTTAAGCTGAAAATGCATACAGAGGAAGGAATGCAACAAGGCCACTGATCTATATAACGCCTGGACTGCTCATTGCTTCAATATATTGAAATCCTTTAGGTGGGCGTGTCTGCTACAGGAAACAGATCCATCACAAAATATATTTCTTTATGTACGTAATTATAAAGGAAATATTAAAAATGAACATATATCTGAAATTGATTCGAATAAACAATGAATAATCCAATACAAGCCTCTGTTACTATATTGCTCTATGTTGTATTGAAATTCAAAGCATACCATGCATCATCTTGGAAATAAAGCTTCAAGTCTTTAAAGGAACACTCCACTTTTTTTGAAAAGACTCATTTTCCAACTCCCCTAGAGTTAAACGGTTGAGTTTCACCGTTTTCGAATCCATTCAGTCGATCTCCGGGTCTGGCGCTAGGAACTTTGGAACTTTGAGGTGGAGGCTTATTAATAGGCTTAAAATAGGCTTATTGGAAGTTACCTAGCTGGGCACTATTTTCAGGCGCTGCGTAATGTCATTGCGCCTGCTGCACCCATGATACGGCAGCAAAGTTCCTTGATTATTACGCCAGAATGAGAGTATAGTTCCTAGACATATCAGTCTAGAAAAATCGCAACTTTTCATTTTCCGTCGGTCTTAGTACACAATGTAACAACAGAAGAGTCAAGTTTTAAATAGGAAAAATATAGAAACTCTTTGGTCATTTTTGAGCGAGATGCTAACGGTCTAATCAGATTCAATGATCTATGCTAAGCTACAGCTAAAAGTGCTACCGCCAGACCCGGAGATCGGCTGAATGGATTCGAAAACGGTGAAACTCAACTGTTTAACTCTAGGGGAGTTGGAAAATGAGCCTATTATCAAAAATAGTGGAGTGTTCCTTTAAGTCCGTACCATATGTAGTCAGCGTTATTTCTCTGAATAAGTTATGATTAAAAAAGTTTGATTTGCATGTGACAATAAAATGGCTCAAGTTGTGGTTGGTGGTGAGTTTGTTTAAGCTTTAGTGTACAACCTTAAGAACTTGAAGTGGTCACATTACCGAAATATTGCGGGCAAAATAGCTCAATTTTCAAAGCAAACCAAGCAGCTTTATAATGGTAAACCTGGCCAATTTGGGAGATTAAAAAAATTAATAAATAAAATTGACATTCCTCATGCAAAAAAAAGGTAAATGTGACCGCACCTTTAATGTGTCTATTTGCATGAGAATGAAGCCAACAAAATCTATAAAATTTTTGCTAGATGCAAGCATATGTATGATTTGTTTTCATCTTTCATTGGTTTACAGGAACTGGACCTTAAACCTAATGCAAACCTGGACAATAACTGAACAATGACGTCATATTTCTCACATTTTCTTTTTGATTGTCAGTGCTCATTCTGTTTTCTCCACCTCAAGCCCCTTGTAAGTAACCGTGGTGAAAAGAATCATTTTCTCAGTGCATGTCTCTCTAGCATCACATCCTCTTCCTCCTCCACACCCTGCTCTCAAACCCTGGCAACTGGAGCACAGCCAGTCTCAGCCGCATCTTGGCACTGACTCATGAATGATTCATCGTGTGGGCGGGACCTAACGTTGAGAGCAGATGCGTTACAGTAGGTTGGATGGCTGATGCTTTGAAAGACAGGACATCCAGCCAATGGCGTCGAAGCAGAGACTCGGACCAGCCAGTGCAATACACGATTCCAGGTTAAGGTGGGGCAGGGAGAGAGAGAACATGAGCAGCAAGAAAGACAACACACAGACGAGGAAGAGGCTGCTCCATCACCCCGCATCCAGACACTCACACCCAGGTACGTCCTGCTTTTATACCACACAACACAATGCAACTGATGCTATTACAACTCAGACTAAAACATCACTATCTCAGTTTTATATAAACTTCAATGGATTCTTTTAGTAATGGACTATTCATATTCATAATATATATGACGAAGGTGTGCGACCATAACTATAATGTATATGACAAATCCACAAATGTATCACAAACCAATAAAAGGCAATCAAAACATCAGATCTTGATCGGAAGTGTATCTGTACACACTTACATGCAGGATCCAGACTGTGCAATTCTAGATCATTACACCAGAGAGCATCAAAATGATTGTGTACTGAATATGTAACAAGAAAATCTCATTCGCTAGCATCTATAAGTCTAGAAAAAGACCAACATTAGAAAAGGGGCTTGAAAGATATGGTAGCACCGTACTGAGAGATGCTCAGGGTGGGGGTCTCTGGAGAGCAGGACAAGAAGAAGCCATCTGTCTGTTTCAGACGGGACTCTGTGTTTGTGTCTATGGGGGAGTCTACAAGAGGTAAACCAAGGTCACAAGACCAGAATTAAGCCTATTTTATGAGAATAAAATAAAAACTGAATAATTGAATGGGAAAAGAAGTTAATATCTCTCTGGAGATGGAGGAACGGTCTTCTGAGTCATGGTCGAATCGAAAGTGAAGCTGTATTCCTGCAGAAGCGTATGTGCACAATCAGACATGGCTCATGTTACACTTAACCTAATTACATCTACGACTGCATTCCTGACATGCACAGATCCCACTTTGGTGACATGTGTTATACAGAAAAACTTTGATAGCTCATCAGAACTCATTTTAAACACCATATACGAATATCAAATGATCTGAGAAATGTTGTAAACGAAGCTTCTACTCTGGTCTAAACCTACACAACACACACAATGTCCACTCAAGCAAACTAGGTCAGCTGATTCATCTCAATTCATTTGTCTAGTAAAGCGCCATCCAATTTTTTATACTATTTGTCCTACATAACATGTAAGATTAGGATTAGTCTATCCAAAAAAATCCCAAAAGTACACTGAAAATAGTACGCTAAAGCTGTCTGGATGATATAATATATTTCCAGTAGATTTACAAAGCTTTACATTTTTAGCTCTGCTTTTTAGGTTAATATGTAAGTGTTTGGCAAAGAATATTTGAACCTACCAAAGTACACTACACTCTTTAAAATAAAGGTGCTTCACGATGCTATAGAAGAACCTTTTTGTCTAAATGGTTCCATAAAGAACCTTTAACATCTGAAGAACCTTTCTGTTTCACAAAAGCTTCTTTGTGGCGAAAGAAGGTTCTTCAGATTATAAAAAGGTAAGAAAGAGCTGGTTCTTTAAAGAACCTTTGACTGAATGGTTCTTTGTGGAACCAAAAATGGTTCTTCTATGGCATCGCTTGAAGAACCTGTTGAAGCACCTTTATTTTTAAGAGTGTACCATTCAAAAGTTTGGGGTCAGTAAGATTTTAATTTAATTTTTTAAAAGACATTACTACTTCTATTTGACAAGGGTGCATTAAACAGATCAAATTAACAGTAACGACTTACATTGTTACAAAAAAATTCGAATTCAAATAGATGCTGTTCTTTTTTTAACTTTCTATGCATCAAAGAATCTTGCATCATGTTTCCCACAACAGTAGTAATAATCAGAAATTGAGAAAAGATTTCGTAAGGATCATGTGACACTGAAGTCTGGAGTAATGAAGCTGAAAATTCACAGGAATAAATTTACATTTTAAAAAATATTAAAATAAGTTAGTTTTTCATGAAATGGCAATAATATTTACTGTGCTCACTGGGTTTTTTTTATTAAATAAATGCAGCCTTCGTATGCATAAGAGACTTTTCTCAAAAATATTACTAAATCTTACCAACGGCAATGTATTTTTTAAATGCATGAACCTAAAAGCAACCAACACTGAATTTAAAGAATTATAATACAGTTTTTTTTAGCATTACCACAAACAGTAGATGCAATTGTATGATATGACAGTATGTCCCAATACTTACTTACACCTTTGTACTGCAAATCTATGTTTTTTTTTTATTTTTATAATTGATGGGTTGCCTAAGCAACTAATCAATGAATCAAATTTCAGTAATTCCTGAGTAATTATTCTGATTTTGGGTTAACCTGATCCCAATAAGATGAGTCGAGGTGTGAACTTGTGTTCAAAAACAGCTAAACAAAGATGCATCAGACTAGAGTTGAGCTCTCTTTAACTTAAAATGATGCATTGAAAACCCTACACTTATGCTGAAAGATACTCAAAAACAGTGGGTTGCAATGTAATGAACAAAGATGTCCGACTGACAGCTAAAGCACAGTATGAAATAATGTATGTGCTTTTCCTATCAACACCAAAAAACACAAAGTAGTGTGTAGAAATTGACATTCAATCTGTCAATCACCCTGCCACCAGCTCTCCTTCCATCTTCATCTCCATTCTTCATCTTCCTCCTCAGTAACTGACTGTATTTATCGGTCTCTCTGCAGTATGAACATGTCCAGCAGTTCTGCTCTGATCCAGCAGATCTATCCCTTCCACGATGGCTGGAATATTGCCTGCTTCATCATCCTGCTCCTCTTCATCCTCACCATCCTCTCCCTCGCCACACTGGCTTTCCTCTATGAGCTGCTGGACTGCGGATGCTTCACCAAAACCAAAACCGTTCGTGACCTGCGCCGCCAGAGCGACGAGGTGGTTTAGTTGTAACCATGGTGACAGCGGACACGGTCGCCATAGGAACCCCAACAGCAGATCGGTGGAAAAGGCTGCAGATTTGGACAGAGCTCGTCGCCAGATTGGAGTCCCATAAAACACGCCAGACACATACAGAGACAGAAGCACTCTACTCCCACTAGCTCCAACAGCACAGGTGTCTCCATGGCTTAAAATCTTAGATGAGATTTACACCAGAAAGAGAGGGAAAAACTAGCTTGTATGTGCACGTCATTGTCTCCTCTGCATTCAGTATTCCAGTACAATTGTGTAATGACTATATAAAACTGTTGAATTTTTTGTTGAGAGTGTTTACATGAATCTTTCCCTTTGTGTGGAACGACAAAGTTTACATGTCAGTATTATAGAATTAATAAGTTACGTACAACATGATTCAACAATTTCAAGCAAATAACACAGTATATTTGGAGTAAAGGGAATGTTTGTATGCGTATGTTTACATTCATTTTTAGGTCAGATTTAATAAGCGAATAATTGTTATGTATAACACTTCTAAGCTATATCAAGAAGCACACTAAAGGTCAATTATTGCATCTTTGCAATGCCTTAAAATTGTGTATTTAAAATTATATAATAAAAATCACACAAACACAAGAAATGTGTGGTTCCCATCAGGGTCACAGAAGATATCATCAGCTGCTAAAAATACATTTAAATCTGTCTACATGCTCAAAAACATGCAGAAACAGGCCTGTCCTTCAGCTTTGCTTCACCCTGATTACATATAAGAACGAGATTAATACATCTAACAGAAGAAAAAGCAGGACAATATTACTGGCCTTGAATACACAAGCCATCATAACCACTAGAGATGTGATGATCGATATTTTCTACTGATATCCAGAATTTTCAACCTAGCTGGTTATTGGTTCTTTAATATCAGGCGATAAACAAAAAAAGCAAAGCACTCAACAACAGAATATTCACAGGTATAGTTATTTATTAACTTATAAAGTTGCCAGCCACCGCCATCATTTTTGATAATTTTCACAAAAATGTCATGGCCTCCAGAATATTTTGTTGTATGAATATCTGAACACACAATATGTCAAAAGAAAGAACAGAGACTCTGCAAACAAACAATATGTTTTATTCTAGTTTCATGCATTCTTTTTTTAATCAACACTTGAATGTGGGTAAGTTTCATAAAAAGGTGAGAAAATCACGTTTTTGATTCAGAATCAGGATTCAGAATGATGCTCAAAACACAGATGAAGTCGATCGCTACCATCCCTATATGCTGTTTAATGATTGATTATTGCGTTATTTTTCATATGCATCTGCTTACTTATGCGATCACTTGTTTCTGCTTCTTCGCGGTGTTTTGATCTAGATTCAATACTCTTTCAGAAGATGTGTAATAGCGCCTCCTACTGTCTAACAGTGAAAACACAAAGACGAAAAAATCTGTCAATGGCGGGGAAAGAGTTAAAAAATATTGTCTGGATAATTACTCAACTTTTAAAATAACTTCTGTAACTCTAAATGTAAAACCCAAAACTTCAGAATAAATATACAAAAGAAAAGCAACAGCAATCATTAGTGTTATTATTTTTATGAATTATTAATATTCATGAAATATTAATACTCCAGTCTTCAGTGTCACATGGTCCTTTGGAAATCATTCTAATGCGCTGCTTCATATTTTTGTGGAAACAGTGATTTTTTTCTTTGATGCATATAAAGTTCAAAAGAAAAAGTAATAACACAACACATCTACTCTCTGACCTATGCTGTTTTTGGAGGATGATGATGTGTCTCTGTCTGGTTTGCTCTTTTTCTTCTTGGAGGATCCAGAGGCCTCAGAGTTCACTGGTCTCTTCTCTACTGCAGGAGTGGACAGCGCTCTCTTTTTAAAGAGCTCTCGCTCTCTCAGCAGAGCTTTATCCATCCTACACACACACACACTCACACACACTCTCACACACTCTCACACACACTCACACACACTCACACACACACACACACACACACACACACACACACTCACACACTCTCACACACTCACACACTCACACTCACACACACACGCACACACACACACACTCACTCACTCTCACATACACACACACACACACTCACACACACACACTCTCTCTCTCACACACACTCTCTCTCTCACATACACTCTCTCTCTCACATACACACACACACACACACGCATTTATTTATTTTACCAATAATATTACGAATAATAGTTAAGCCATAATCATAACCAGCCAGTTCTCATGCGATAGATACGCTGGCTGCTTTTCATTCGATATCTGGCCCAACTAACGTTCATTTATACAAAAACTAACACATTTTAGGTTTGTAAAGGAATGTTATATAACTTACATACACATAGTAGTGAATATCTGTGGACTGTGTAACTATTACTTTCAATCTAATGCAACGTTAGAGATATTTGAGGCCAGATTGAAGTCACTTATGATTGTGGATATTAAATATCTAACAAAAGACGTTTAATATAAACAACAAAATCACAATAACCACAAGAAGAAACACATCCACAATTTACTGAAGTAATAGTTCTGAGCGTTAACTTACCTGAAACTCTCACAGCCTCCTCTCTCTGAGAGAAACAGCTCAGCTAAAGCTTAAATATTATTTTGAACGACCATATGCTGTCAAGTTAGTGATAAAGCCAAATGAGAAGCTTGTCACAGAATGCTAGCGATGCTTCACAACTACACGTACTTCCAAAAACAAAAACAAAAACAAAAAAACTACATGTACTTCCTGCGGAAGAGCGGCGTTCTTCTTTTACGTTGTTTTTAATCGTGATTTGCAAACACGTCCTGCGCCGCCTGCTGGTAAAAAAAGAGTATTACATCTGTGGCGCTGTACGGATTTTACATTTACTGGTCTTGATAAAATATTTGCAAACATTAAACTGGAAAAATATGAATTGTTTTAACTGTTCATACAGACGTTTTAAAATGCTTGAACAACCAACACTTGTCAAATTGGGATTGCTCCTCTCCTCTTTAGCAGTAGGAGGCGCACGTGCTGCTTTCCTTGCATAACACGAGCTCGTGCGCATCTGAAGGCAGAAATAGCATGGCAGCTACAGAAGCCCATAAAGTGCTTGTTTACGGAGGAAAGGGGGCTCTGGGATCTGCATGTGTGCAGTACTTCAGAGCTAAAAACTGGGTAAGTTGTCTCAACCCAAAAGACTGCTCATGTCATTGAAAATAAATTGCTTTTTAGTGTGCCATCAGACATGTGTTTTAGTGATAATGTTGTTAATGATTAATTCATTTGTCACAGTGTCATGCGTTTATTCTTAAATATGCATTTCTTGTGGCCTGTCATACAGTGTGTAAATAAGGTGGATCATTAAATTTCAACTGTGTTTTGTCATGTACAGTGGGTCGCCTCTATAGATCTCAATGCCAATGAAGAAGCCAATGCCAATGTTACAGTTAAGATGACTGAATCCTTCACTGAGCAAGCCAACCAGGTACGCTGTTAAAAAATGACTCTTTATGAGTGAAGCTAATAAAGTATGCGTAACTTACACTATTTCTTTTAATTGTCCAATTGCATTTATTTTTAAACTGGGAATGGGCAGGTGCCATCTTTATGAAATTGCCAAATATTGTCAGAATTTTTGGTCTGTCACTAGATTCTTAGTTTTATGTGTTGCCTGCAAGCATGTTACATCTCTGTATTTCTTTTTTATGTAGGTGACAGCTGATGTCGGTGAGCTGTTAGGTGCAGATAAGGTTGATGCCATCTTGTGTGTGGCTGGAGGTTGGGCAGGAGGCAGCGCCAAGGCCAAAAGTTAGTACATGCACACACAGAAGCCACGCATAACCCATGAGAATGGTTCACAACCTTTTTGACTCAAAGACTTCCTACTGTCAAACACAATATTTGAAGGCCATCTATATAATAGAGAACATACTGTGCATACAGTGTATGTGCTTCTAGAAGTTTAAAGAAATGTTATTCAATAAAATAAATGTAAAAAAATAATAAAAATTGAATAAAAAGATGAATAGTGATTGTATGTATGTTAACATTTATGTTAATGATTTTGCTTAATATTAAAATTAATTATATTAATAACAACATATGCATTTAAATGATTTTAAAGGGATAGTTCACCCAAAAATGAAAATTACCCCATCATTTACATTTAAAGTTTTAAAAATAGTTATTTTTCTTACACAAACGCAACAATTCGCTTCAGAAGGTCTTTATTCACCCCACGGAGCTGTGTGGAGAACTTTTTATGATGGATGGATACACTTTTTTAGGCTTCAAAATCTCAACAGCCATTCACTGCCATTATAAAACTTGGAATTTATAGCAGGGAGATTTTTGCTGTTTCAGGATTTCTTTCTTTCTTCAATATTTATTAATTTTTACCTTCATCATCATCTGTTTCTCTATATGACAGCAGTTGTGAATTAGTTGTGAAATTAATTTAGAAGACAATGACTGTATCAAATATGTGACACTTGAGGTCTGAAATAAAGATAATATATTGGTGATATATATATATTTATTTTATTTAATTTTTTTAAATGATTGGTTTCTGCAAATATTAGATGGTGATAATAATACAACAGCTTGTTAAGAATTACATATTTATTAATTGTTCTTTATGATGCTTGAATTCATTATTGTATCCCTAATCAGGCACGACATAAAAATTGTTTTAGGAACCAGTGGTAATTATAACCAGGATTTGTATATTTCTGTATATATTCCAAATCTAAGGTGATAAAGCCAGGACATTCTGACCTAAGCGGAGACATAAACCTCTTGTTTCAGTTTTAAATGGCATTTCAAGTCATTACATAGACCATTCTTTATAGAGCCTATGAGTTCAATCAGTTAATTATTTACTTATTTATAATATTTCTTTGCTGCTGTGTATTTTGTCCATGAGTCATTGAATAGGACAATAGCTCATTTCTAATGCACTGCATGCACTTATTATTTGTGTTGTAATTATTTGTAACGTATTAATTAATTAACTTTGAGTTTTGTGGTTGATTAATAATGGAAAGATTGTTTCATAATTTCAGAAATGACATTAGGCTATGTCATTGTATTCCAGCAACAGCAAGAGAAACAAGGAAAAACTATTTTCTCTATCTCTGTTTTTTCTTGCTTGTTATCAGGCTGGGCAGCCCATAATTTCAAAGCTGAAAGAACCAGGTCACCGAGTTGAGGTTGCTATGACAACGTCAGATCTAAAGAATAGTGAATGGTAGGAGCATACAGCAAGCAAAGCTGAAGTTGTGTTTGTGTTACTCCTGAGCAGTTGAATGTGTGCTGCTATTCTTCCCTCTTTCTTCACCGCTGTTTACTCTTCTTTTCTTTACACCTTTAAAACAGATTTTCTCTTTTTAGAATCTTAATTGGTTGTAAATAACTCTCGATTATTATTCTTTTATGTGTGGATGTTAATGTGAGCATTTATTATTCTGCAAATGCAATGTATTTTAAATGGATGTCCCTTTACGTTGAATCCATATAAAAATAACATTGATTAGAAATGCAATTTTTGGAAATTAAATTTTTTAATGATTTTTTTATTTATATATAAATCAAACAATTTTTTGAGATGAAGTTGGCTGATATCCATGCCTTGTAGAACCTTGCAAATGGAAAAGTGCACATTTTCTGTTGTCAAACTGAGAAAATGAAACATTATTTTCAAAAGAATGCAATACATATTATACATATTATACAATATCAGTCATTTATAATTATATATATATTTATATATATTAATTATATATATATTTTGCATGTATGTATATAATAAAACAAAATGCTAAGTATATATGAAATGTCTAAATACAGTTTGGCATTAAAAAACTGTGATTTTTAATAAGACAAAATAATAAAAGACAAATAGACATAGACACGTTAATGAAAGTTTATTTAATTGTTCATATGTTGCACAGTTTTGTTTCTCTGGTATCTTGTTCTAATTTTTTTGTTGTTGATATTTTTACTTTAAGGCAAGACCAATATAATCTTTAAAAATATGATTTTTACAGTGGTAGTGTGAATGTTTTCAGTGTGTGGTGTGTCTTTAGTATTCATATCTAGTATGTGTTAGTATGTTTAGTGTGTGTGTGTGTGTGTGTGTGTGTGTGTGTGTGTGTGTATTCCGTCCTATATATTGTAGTGTCTGTGGATTATTTTTAGGGAATCTGAGGTTGCATTAATATTTAATCAAAGGATTCAACAATAAAATCCATGTGGATCTCTCTCTCTCTCTTTCTTACTCACTCTGTCTTCATTTTCTTTCTCTTTGATTATCCATATGTATAGATGCATATGTGTGTGTTTTTGGATTGGCATGCTAATTGCCCAAGAAAACACACACTCAATTGCGTGTGCAGGGTCAGAGAGGGCGACGTCTGCTCTAAATGATGAGCAACATCCTTGGACGTTCATTATGATCTTCATCTCACTGGACTTTAGGTTTATTTACATGAACCTACAATATGTTTCTCTTTCATTTTTTTTTCTTGATGGGGCCTCACATTTAATTTCAAGCATTTGTGTCTGACACTTTCTTCTTTAACACTTTTTATTACACTTTATATTATCAGAATAAATCGGAGTGAAACATTGAACAGAACATTTAAATGAATTTCTTGGTATTTCATATGTCCTTTTGTTTAATGCAAGCAACATCCATTCATACAAATCATAAAATTATGTTGTCCAGCAGATTTTAGAATCCTTCTAAATTTCTTACTCAAATTATGGAATGATTTATCTCATCTGGCAAAAAATGTTCTTCTTTAATATGTTGTAAAAGATGCTTTAAAGACAATTTTATTTCTGTCATATAATCTTGTTTCCTTATTTCCTGTTGTTTATGCATTTCACGTTTGCTTCTGGTGTATTATCTTTGGTTTTTAATATATGCTGTTAGTAATTTGAGGCAGCCATAGATTTTTATATATTTTTATGTTACTTTAGCTCTTTTTTTATCTTTATCTTAATAAGCTTTGGGTTTTCTGGTTAATGGTATTTCTTTGCTTTTTATCGTATTTATATTGTTCAAATAAACGAAACTAAAAAATATGCAAAAATAAAATGATCAAATCAAATCAAATCAAAAAATCTCTTAAAGACTGTCTTGTGTGAGAAAATGAAGTGAAGCGACTAAATTTGCATTCCTTTTGCATCATAACATTTCAGTTTCTTTCTTTCTTTCTTTATTAAATCCTTAATCATTCTCTTTATTTCCAGGTTAAGTTGGATTTTGAATCACTTATTTTCAATGTGGACACATTTGAACCCCACTGTAAAAAATTAAATAAAAATCTGTGTGCTCTTCTGCTCAAGAAACAGACCTCGGCCTTCCCAACATCAGTCCTCTGGTATTTGCCATTAACTAAAGGGAAATCAGAGAGTGACATCTTGTGGTCATCTTTGATCAAGTCACTATAGAGATGGGAGGAAAATTGATAAACACAAAGACATGGATAGAGAGCCTTCTCATTATCCTGCTCTCTCTCTCTCTCCATTTATACAGCAGTGGAGTGGGTAAATTCCATTCCTTTAGACCCCCCTCTCCACCCTCGCCTTTCCCCATGAGACACAACGCACACAAAGAGCCCAGCAACCACTCTTATTAACTGACCTGAGGGGGGAGGTGTGTGTGTGTGTGTGTGTGTGTGTGTGCACATCACTGATCCTCTTTACTAGTATACCTACGGTTTGCATTGTGAAGCCACATGAGCATTGAACTATCAATCACACATGCACAAAATGAAGCAACAGGAACTGTGCATATGTGTGCGTGTGTGTAAATCTGCTTTGTTTTGTAAAAAAGAGGGAGTGTCTTGATTTTGGCAATGAGATGGAAAAAAGAAAGTGAAGTAAAGGAGGTGAACTTTTGGGGCCTTGCTCGCCCCCTAAATCAAGAGAGTAATAGAATCCATATGGACTTGCTCGGTCTCTCATTACATAAGAGAGATTTTTATAATAAAAACGAATGGAAATGTACTGAAAGTTTAAATTGTTTTTTAAAAGAATAAAAATGTGTGTATGTCTCCAAACAAGAGGGAGAGACAGAGAGAGAATGTGTGTCTGTATGTATGTGGGAGAGCAAGTCTCTTGTGTGAGTCATAAAGAAAGAGATGGAAAAATACAAGTAGCGCTCACACACACACACACACACACACACACACACACTGTAGTTGCAGTTCTGCATTAAATATGTGCAATGCTCAGTGCAATTAATTTGCACATCAGCAAACTATATGATCCTACAATACCACACACTGCAGTAGTTATTGATGACATGCATAGGGGATTTTATCCGAAACATAATAAAAGCAAACAGTGATTGCATTCTGCTCTAATTGGCCAACTTGTCAGACTGTACTGTAAGGAAAGACCCTCCAATTTACAGAAGGCTCTCTCCATTCCTCCACCCCCTCCCTCGTCTCTCTCTCCCTCTTCAGTCGTCCCTCCCTCCCCCTCTCCTCTCCTCTCCTGCTCTCCTCTCCTCTCCTCTCCTCTCACAGCAGAGCGCGCGTGTGATTTGACAGTCGCATCTCTCCGCGCGCGCGTGTATGTGTGTGTGTGTGTATGTTTACGATCGTCGTGCTCCACGTGCTGCGTGTGGATGCGCTCCTCACGCGCTGTCGGTAACAGAAACCATGACCGGCGCTCCGCGCGACCCCTTCTACTCCTCTCCGTTCGGTCCGTTTTACCGGAGACACGCGCCCTACCCGGTGCAGCCGGAGTTCCGGATGCACGAGCTCAACAAACGGCTCCAGTCCCGGCCAGAGGTGAGTGATCACGAAAAATAAAACAACAGATGATCAGGACTTTGCGTTTAATATTTTATATACGATCCGTTTTACGTTCTTAAATAAAGTAT